GATACAAAGACGAACTATTAATGTTTTTTAGAATAGAAATGAAATTTCTTTGTAAAAAAAACTAAAAATCATATTTTAAATATTACTTTAAAAAATGTTGATTTCCACAAAAAAATGCTGGAAGTCAAAAGATTAACATGATTTTTCTAAACAATTCGAAAAAAATTCCGATACCTAGAATAGGTATGATATCTGTCTTGTTTGTACATATTCCTTCACCACTTGTTGATATGCGAGACGAAATATATAAGAATAATGCTGTATATGAGTTACATCAAACAATTTGTTTGAGCGCAATTATGTTTCTGTATAATGGTCTATGAGAAATGTTTTAATAAGGAAAAATAAAATAAAATTATAATACCTTATTAACCAATAATGTGTCTGATTACCATTGATATTTTATGTATTTTTCCATAGAAGTGATGAAGAAACAGAAATTCTGCGGTGAACTTTATTTGAGTATTTCTGCCATCGACAATTATAAACATAGCCGCATACCGTCATATTTTTGAACTAATGAAAATATTAGTTGACCACGTTGTTCTTATAGAAGTTTTTTGTTGTCTGGGAAAAAGAGTAAATTTAGGCATTTGTTTATTTGTTACAAGATGAGTGTTCATATTCAAATGACTAAACTCGTGTTGATTATGGATTGCATTTTGAACGCAAAACGATGGCTTCCCAAATATTCACTTGGTCATTTAGTCTTTCAATATTCACAAGTGCATATTAATGAATAAAACAAAGATTGCATTGTTAACCATTGAGGATCATGTTAAATTTATTGAGAATTTTTCGAATAATTGTCATGAACAATGAAAGTCTCATAAAAATATTTTCTTTTTCAAAAAGACATCTCTCTAGTCATTTTTTTGTCCTTAGAATATTTATTTCGTGCACAATAGCTTTGATAATAATAAGATGGACTCTGAAAAAGAAGACGACAAGCATTCTCTTCTACTTTTCCTCAAAAAAAAATTGTCATTTAATTGAGATGAGTATTACTATTGATCGTAGACTTGTTGTTCTGTCTATGTTGAACATATCAGTTAACTGAGAGCAATAACCAAATGAATGATGATTTTACATTTATTAATATATATTGATATAATAAAAACAAGTTTTAAAATGATCAACAAAATTTAGACTAAAAAACTATAATTCATCTAGACATTTTGATAAACCAACTTGTTGTACTACAATAGAGAAAGAAAAAAAAAAGAATTTTTCTTATTATGTTCGAAGAGTTTCGAGTTTTTGATTTTTATTGATGGTGAGATTTGTTATGAGTGCGACATGATTTACATAGTTTTCCTGTTCTGATCACAAGCAAATTTCATTTATTTTGATAGTTACTTTAACTTTTTTTTATAGACCGATACTTCAATCGATGTTATATTTTATCGTTTTGATACTGGAGTAAATGATTTTTGAACATTTATTCTTTATATAATTTTTTTTTACTCATTAGTTGTCAAATTACTTCATTTCTATATCATACAGATATATATATAATGAAGACAATCGTTTTTAATGAAACATTAATTTTTAGATAATCAAATGGCTATTTCGCACTGAGAATGTTTGTTTATCGTAGTCTTTTTTTTTTCTTAAGTTCCAAAAGAAAGTCGAATATATCTCAATTATTATTCAAGTATTTTAATTTTAATTTTACTGTTATATATTTATATTAAATAGTTAATTTTTAAAATGATATATATTGGATATTTGGAATCAAAATTATGTTAATCTTTTGATAAAACAAATATTTATTGCTAACATCTAAAACAGTAGATTTTTGTTTTTTGTTAAGGACAAATTTATACTGCTATAAATTTTTCTTTTCTTGTTTCCTTCGTCTAGGTATTCGTTTAACGATGACAAAGCAAAACAAAAGAAAATAAATATGAATAGATATGGGCACGTTTTCTCTTTCTTTCTATCACTTGTTAGATATAACATTTTCTGTTCA